CCCAGGATAATGGCAGGAGTGGAGCAGACAGGAAGCGGAGAGGGTCCAAACTCTTGAACATGGGAGGAGGAGGAGGGCTGTGGGTGACAGGATCCCCAGATGAGCCAGACACTTACAAAGCCTTGTTGACTCCTGGGCTGGGAACGGCACTGGGGACTCAGGGTTTGCTGCCCCACCCCGAGCAGTGCAGAAGAGCCAGCTGCAGGGGAAGCTGCTTCCGGGAGAGAGTGGAATCTTGCTGGCTGGCCCTTCCACTTTCATGCATTTTTCTCAAGGGCTGAGCCCAGAGCTGCTGTTTCCATTTTCCAGGGTAACCAGTGACCTGTGACAAATGGGACCTATCCACTGACATGCTATGGACACACTGGAGAAAATACATCAAGTTTACACTAAGGAACATGTGCTTTCTGATAACTCACATCCTCCACCTTCCCCGGTCTGCCTGGCACTTCTCTGCACATAGTAGGCCCTTCGTAAATCCAGGCTGACCAGAGTTCCTCAGAAGTATAAGTCATCTCTGTCTATCACTCAAGAGAGGCCCTTGGGAGTCCAGTTAGTCTTTGGGAAGAACTGCAGACTTGGGGTCTGGCCACTCCCTGCACGCCACCCCAAGGCTGCCTGGGAGCTCATTTCAGAGGTGACATTGGGCACTCACAGCTCTGCACAGCCTCTTCTCACAAGCTCCTTTCTCCCAAGAAGCCCCTGTCCTGTCTTATATACAGTGGTTACCTCTGGAGAGTAATGTTAAGGGTGGTTTTTAAAATTTCTTTCTTTTCCTTTATATTTAATCCTTTCTTTTAAAAAAAATTGTGATAAAATACACATAACATAAAATTTACCATCTCAGCCATTTAAGCGTACAGTTCAATATTGTTTCAGTATTTTCACACTGCTGTGCAACCAATCTCCAGAAGGGGGAAGTGGGGGCAGTGCACATGGAGGTCAGGAAGGGGGAGGGGCTGGGGGGGTGAGGGCATAGATAGAGAGTAATTTCCGCCTTGGTAATCTGAGGGTATCAGCTGGTTTCATTATAGCAGTGGCTTATGCACACGCACAGAAAACCACAGCTAAAGTGCCAAAGTGTGACACTTAGATGTCAGGGCCCCTTTCATTTTGCAAATAGGGGACCGAGGCCTGGAAAGGTGAGGTGATTTGCTTGATGCCACAGAGCAAGGTGACAACAAGGCTGAGAATGGAACCAGCAGTACCACCAGGTGGAGATCCCAGAGCAGAATAAGCTGGCTGGGGGGCAGGGAGGGGTCAGGTCACAGGAGGGTCCCAGGTGCAGGCCAGGAGCTAGAGGGACAGAATGGGCCAGAACCTGCAGAAGCTCGACAAGAAATAGGAAGGAAAGGCAGGGCCCCATGACAACATTTCAGAAACTGGTGGCGGGTCCCCAGATAGAGGTTTGCTGTGCCGGTTAACTAGAGCGATATTCCTGCAGGGAAGGACTCAAGGTCTGGAGGACAGACGGCAACCTTATATCACTTCCAGAACAGGGTGGGAGCAGGAGTGACTGAGATGGCTGAAGTGGGGACGAAGTAAAAGGGGAATAGGCAATGAAGACACCCCTGCAGAGGAGGGCAGGTGTGGCGCCCAAAGCTGCACATGACCCCCTGGCTCCTCCAGGTGAAGCTGCTTCAAGACTCCTCTCAGGAGGGGTCACTCTCTTGCTGCCCCTCTGGGCCACCATTCTCAGCCAGAGCGTGGGCCCTGCTGCCCAGGGAGACCATGTCCCCCAGGGTGCTGCCCGTGGTCACCTTGCTGAGGCTGTGGGAGCTGTGGTGAGGTCTGTGGCGGCGACACCTTGTCCCTAAGCACAGGGCTTCCCAGAAGGTTTCCCGGAAGCGGCTGGACATGAGGCTGTAGAGCACAGGATTGGCAGCCGAGCTGAGGTAGAAGAAGACGCCAGAGACGACGTGCACGTACTGGTAGGCCAGGTTCAGGCCATCGGTCCATTGGGACACGAAGCTCCACATGAGGCGGTCGATGTGGAACGGGGCCCAGCAGATTCCAAACACCACGACCAGCACAACTGCGGGGGCAGGGAAGGGAGACTGGGTGTCCGCCGGAGCCCACTCCACTGCCGTCCCCGCTTCAGGCCGGTCAGCCCGCTCTCGCATCCTCTCCTATCCCACAAGCCACCTATGCCCATTGTCCATCTTGAAGTTTCTGGAAGTTTGCCTGCCCTGGCCACACCCCTTTCAGAACAGCTGCTCCCACCACTGTCGCTGACTGGGCAGTGGGCCTGTGCCTTGCCCCTGGCCACAGCCACCTGGACCAGGTGTGGACACCTGAGCCATTTGTCTCACCCTGGGACTTGGATCTGGTGACCCTCAGCTGTGGATGCTGGGCCCCAGCGTGGCACAGACTATGGGGCTAAGGCCCACGCTGGGTGCCCACTCAGGGGCCATGCGCTGATACGTGAGCACACAGGAGCAGGAGAATGGGGCCCATGCTCAGACAGCAGTGGAAGGGAGATTATAGGGCCAGAGAGAGTGAGACAAGCACCCCCCCCACACACTTGCCTGCCTTGGCCCCAGAAGCCTTCCCAGCCCCAGCTGCCAACTCTCCAAGGCCCAGCTAAATATCCTGCCCTACACTAACTCCCCATTACTTGAGCACCCCCCAGCTCAGCAAAAGACAGGATAGACTGGCCACTTTCTCCTGAGCTCCCTTCCAGCCCTTCTTAGGTCTCTGTCACCTTGGTTTTTGTTTCTTGTTTCTCATGTTTGCTTAGCTGACTCTATCCTTTTCCCCTGCAGTGTCTTCCCCACCGTACCCCAGCATGGTTTTCCTCATAATCCCAGATTTCAACATCTCCAGCACATAGCCTGGTGCACAGTAGGCCTTCTGAAAGTGGAGGTGGGGGAAGGAGGGAGGGAGAGAAGGAAGCCAGAGCCTTAAGGAAACACCACACCTGTCCAGGGTAAGACCCATCCCAGCTGAGCAGACTTGGACCCTGTGAGGTGGGGAAGCAGGACGCAGGGGCAGGGCGGGCAGGGGCCAGTTGGCCTGTAGTGCAGGCTCCACATTACAGAGCTGAGAATCAAGCACAGAGCTCCAGGGTGAGTCCACACTCTGGGATACTTTCTGAGGGGTGAGAAGAGGGGGTCTCTCTCTGAAAATAGGACAGTCCCCAGATAGCTGGCTGTAATCCCATGGCTTTGACCAAGGTCTCACCAGCTCTGTCCTGCCCTGGCTGACGCCCCCTACCTGTTTCAGGCCCTGCTCAGGTAGCGCGAGGTGGGGAGGAAATCAGTTTATCTTGCTTCCCCAGGGCCACTGTTTTTGAAAAAGAACCAGGTCTAGGCCACAGGAAGGTCCAGAACCTCAACCCAGCTGGCCATGCCCTGGCCAGCGCCAATCCACACGTCTCTCCTATGCTCCGTACACCAACACTCACAAACAATTCTCCTAATAAGACTCTTTTAGACAAGTGGTCGCTCCTGTGGTTCTCAGGGAACCACAGCCATAGATGGAAGAAATTCGTCATCTTGCCTCTCCAGCACCCGCTCCCCTTCTTTTGGAAGCTTTGCTCCCCTTACAGCCCACTGTGTTTTTCTCTGGGGGTTGCTCACTTCAACATCAAGTCACTCTGGCCTGGGGGTGGGCCATGACCTAACCCCACCCATCAGAATTCTTCCCTGGAACTTTTCAACAGCCACTAAGGAAAGAGGGCAGTTCTTCAAGAAAGCAGAACTCTGTGCCCATGGCCATGCCTCCCAGCCTGCTGTAGGGAAAGACAGAGCTGAGACAAGTTTAGGAGCCAAGATGAGAGACCTGGAGAGTCTAGATCCCATGAACGACTCTGTCATCTTGGAGCACAGCCACACACCCCTGCCCTGTCTGTGGTTTGGTTCCATGAGCCAGGGTTGGCTTCATGGGTTTGCCACCTGTGTATCTGCACAGGGCCCCGATGTCAGAAGGGCGCTGGGCTTGATTAAATGCTCTACTGTTGCTGTCTTAACATTCTTAATAATATCTGACTTTTCATTTTGCACTGGGCCCCACAAATTATGTAGTTGATCCTACCATGAGCCATTAACATTTATCTTTGGTGTGAGTTTCTCAAAGGGTAATTGAGAAGAGTATCCATGCATGCATGCACATACACAAGCACAAGGCAGGGGGTGTGACTCCAAGCCTCACATTCAGCCTCCCTCATAAACCCACTCAGCCCCCTCCTTCGGGCCCTGGAAGCCCCAGCCTCATACCCAGTGCCTGCCTCACCCCCTCTTCCCAGCAGCTACACTTACACAGCATCTTGGTCACCTGCGTCCGACCCCTATCCTGCAGCCGCTGGAGACTGTGTCTGTCGCTGGCCGCCCGCCTGGGCAGCAGCAGCCTCTCATGGCGCAGCCGCAGCCCAATGAGCAGGTAGAGCACACTGATGGTGGCCATGGGCAGGCAGAAGAAGAGCAGAGTGGTGATCTGCATGACCAAGTTGTAGAGAGCCTGTGGGTAGACCAGCCTGCACATAGCCGAGTCGGGCACTGTACCCCGGCAGGGCACCTCCAGCTGCCAGATGCCATGCAGGCTGGTGTTGGGCAGAGAGCAGAGCACAGCAAGGCCCCAGATGACCCCGAGCACTCGTCGCACGTGGGCCCCAGTCACCATGGACCTGGCCTGCAGCGGGTGCACCACAGCCATGTAGCGTTCCACGCTCAGGGCGGTGACATTGAGCACAGAGGCCAGGCAAACTGTCTCAAAGAGCAGCGTGCGGAAGTAGCAGCCCCCTGCGCCCAGCAGGAAGGGGTAGTTACACCACATCTCATAGAGCTCCAGCGGCAGGCCCACCAGCAGCACCAGCAGGTCTGACACGGCGAGGCTGAAGAGGTAGTAGTTGGTGGGCGTGCGCATGGCCTTGTGGTGCAGGATGACCATGCAGGTCAGCCCGTTGCCCACCGTGCCCACCACGAAGATCAGCAGGTAAATGACACAGATGGGCATGAACAGCTCTGTCTGCTGGGACCCCAGGTACTTGAGTCTGAGCTCCTGGTCAGTCAGGTTCAAGTCCTTAGGATCAAAATTTAGCCCCCAGGCACTACTGACATTGCAGGGCACTGGGCTCCTTGCACCCCTCAGGGACATGTCTCCAGGGAAGATGGAACAATTGAGGCAGAGAGGAGCCTGTAGAACAGAAGAGAGAAACACCCAGTAAAGTCATTCAGGGAACGCTGGCTCTGTCTTAATTCATCAAACCAAGGTGCCATCGACACTAAGAGAGCCATTATCTTATGTAGTGCTGAGAAAGAAAAAAAACTCTCATTCATTGTAAGATGAATTACAATTTCAGAGATGTAAAAATGTGTGCCTTAAAAATGATAAAGAATGGACTACAATTTTAAATTTCACAATCTATTGAAACCTTTGACTAAGTGACAAATCCTCTCGAGCATGGGCTTTGCCATCAAGCAGCCTCCCCTTGGGTCTCCCCCTTCGAGCCATGGACTCTGGGGGTTTGGGCATCTGTAAGATGGGCACAGTGTGCAGCCGCATGGTCTTTAAGAACAAGGGCTCCGGAAGCAACTGCCTGGGTTCCAATGCAGCCTCCCCAACTCCAGGCTGTGTGACAATTTGCCTAATAACCTCTCTGTGGCTGTTTCCTTATTATAAGGAACCAGAGAGCTTAATCCACAAATTATATTAACACAGGGCCTGCCTGACACACGGGAGGGCTGGGTTATCAGCACCTCCCTGAGGGGACTGACTCACTGTGGTCTCAAGCGAGGGAGTGAAAGGGCTAAAAACTGTTAACACTGATCCAAACATTGGTTCTTGTTTCTTTTCCATCACCTGAACTATTTGAAGTAGAATTATTTGACACCACCAGTTCCAGGGTTCCCTGTCTTCTCTGGCTCCCCATCTCTGTCTGTCATCCACTGGATACAGTGGTTAAGGACCAGGCCATGGGACTAAACAGATAGGTGTGGGGTCAAATGCCAGCTCTGCCATGCTGTACTTGTGACCTCCCCTTATTGTGCCTCAGTCGTCTCATCTGTGAAATGGGGGTGTGGAGAGAGCCTACCTCATAGTTTCTGTGAAGATTAAATGAGAGAATACATATAAAGTTCTCAGGCGTGTGCCTAGTACATTTTGGGTGCTCAGTTTCAGCACATAGTAAATATAATCCTTGCTCCCCACATGGAAAGGGGAGGGCAGTCCAGCGACATGGGGCAGGGGCTGAATGGGGTTTGGCAGCCAGTAGCTACCCTAGGCGAGCAGCCCCATCTGTCCTCCTGAGCCTGTTCCCCAAGCCCACCACCACCACCACCCCTCTGCTTGGAGCAACCTCAGATAATCAGATTCGGTTCCTCAATCCTAATCAGGCTCAGTTCCTCCGTCCGCTCCCTATTTTTTAGCCCCAATTCCTTTCCTCAATGGGGGGCTTGGGGCTTCCTTTGCACACATACCTGTGCAGACCTTGGTGTCTGAAAGAGTGAAGGACCATTCCAATTTCTTTTCCAGGTCCTTCACTCTCCCAGACCCCAAGCATTCTTAATCCCAGTATCTTCCTCCCCTTCAAAGCCTCTCCCCAAAAGTCTCCCCAAGCCTCCCTGCCTCTCCCACATCTCATCCCGGCATCTTGGGATCCAGGCGTGTTTTTATCCACTCAGACGTTCCTCCTACCCCCATCTACACCCCCTACCCCGCTGATGTGGGAGCCAAAGGGCGGGAGTCACGGGGATGAGTTGGGAACACACAGCGCCAACTCGGCTTCCAGGGAGGTCCCCTATGCCACCAGGAAGGGTCGCCTCGCTGGAGCCCCCAATCCCGCAGCGCGCGTGACCGACAATAAGAAATAACCCGGGAGGCTGCGAGTCCTCCGGGGAGCGAGGCACCCCAGCAGGGTCCTCCGACCTCTACCGTCCTGGGGAGGTGCAGCCCGCACGCTCCTCCCGCCTCTACTCACGCAAGCCCCGGGCCCGCCGCGCGCCCTTGCCATGCCGGCATCCCGCTCACCTACCATGCCTTCTGCGGCCCGTGAGATCTAGGAGCCGGGAGCCCACGCGCCAGTGGCGTCCAGAGACCCACCGACGGACAGAGGCGACACCAAGAAAGAGCGGACTGGCGGACTGGCCAACGGACAGCAGCCTGCCCACCAGCAGCCCGCCCCGTCGCCCCGCCTGTCGGGGGCCCGGGAGCACTGTCCGGGACCGCCACCAGGGGGCAGTACCGCCCCCGCAGCCCGCCGCTGGTCTCCTACAGGCTCACCTGGGGCCCCCCACACCCACCCAAACGTTAGCGGTTGTGTTTCCAAGCGTTTGACCCGGCGCTTCCAGGAGCATCTTTATCTCACAACCACCCATTTTGCAGATGAGAAAGCCCCAGAGAGATGAAGTCCGAGCAATCTGGGTCTCACATGCTGTCCGCGCCCTGCAGCCTGCTGACTTTTAGCATAACCCCTCACTATGGTGTCACTCCAGCCCCACGTCCTCCTGCCCCACATTTCAGACGTACCTCCAAGGACATCCCACCAGCCCCTCAAAGTTCATGATCCCCAAAGGGTCTCATCCTGCCTCCTAGGCTTCACACGGAGCCTCTTCTCCATCCCTCCACCCCTCTCTCTCCAGTTAGGTCCTCAAGACTCCTAGTCCAGCTCCTTGAACCCTCCCAGGAACGCGGTATTCTCTCTCCAGTCTGTCCTCCCCCACCCGGTCTGCCTGAGCTCCCAACGGTGGCATTCCTCTCCTGGAAACCTTCTCTAGGGCCCCTACTTTTTTCTGAAAAAGAACACATCAAGTCTAACCTGATGTTGGACCCCTCCGTCTCCCTCACTATTCTCTCACCCCCCAGTACCCTCTGTCTCATTCATTCAGGTGTTCCCCCGCCCTCTCACCCTACCATAGGGTACCCAGAGGGAGGGAAGGAAATGTCGGGAGGGAAGAACCATGCAGGCCAGGACCCCAGCCTCCTCCTGCTCCCCGAAACTGCACGTGTAAACCCTAGCAGGAAGCACCTCCCCTGCTCCACCTCCTCCTCCAACCAGCTCCTTAGCTGGAAGTTATCTCATCAGGAACTTGCTAGGGAGCCTAGAACATGGACCTCGCAGACTAAAATGCTGGTGCTTGGACCTCTTCCCAGAGCCTGATTCACTTAGTCTGGGCAAGGCCCAGAAATCTTCATTTCTGGCAACACTTCCAGGGAGCCCCAGGATCCAGAAAGGCTGTTGTTGAGCTGTGTGACTGGGAAGAGACTCAGTCCCTCTGTGCCTCAGTTTCCCTTCCTGTAGAATGGGCTAACCATTGTTACCACTATTGTAAGCGAGTGATGAGAGAGCAGAACTTGGCACAGGGCTGGCACACGGTTAGCACTCAAGAAAGTTGGGTGGGATTATCTCCATTTAGTGACAACTGGAAGCGAGACTGTCTTCCCCCTAGACTGTCTCTGTCCCACCCTCCTCCCCATGAGTCATTGTCTGGCCTTAGGGACTGGGAGTTAGGCCCTCTCAGAGCCTGCGCCAGGCCTGCCTTCCCAGGAACTCCATATATAAACAGCTCTAGGCACAGGGAGGTTGCAGGCAGTGCAGAGGCAGACGGAGTAAAGGATTCTGGGGTGTCCCAGAGAGTTAACTGCTCAGCTCCCGATGAGTGAGCCTGGTGGACCCTTCAAGGGGCTGCTGTCATAGCAGATGAGCAATGAGGGGCAGGCAGCATTGCCAGGAAACAGCCCACCAACGTCACAGACAGCATCTCACATGTGACAAGCATTGTCAGCCCTGCCTCCATCACTGGAACACAGTCACTCTCTCACGCACATCACCTCAACATCTTTGCATGGACTCTGAGTGGCCCAAAACCCATTGTGGACCATTTGAAGGTGCTCAGAGCCCAGGAAATGATGGGGAAGGCCTCATCCCTGCTTTACAGAGACAAATGGACTCCCACAGGTCAGGAATTCCTACAGCTGGCTGCATCACTCACAGCATTAACAGCCATCAAAGACCATGTCAGGCTAAAGTGTAGCCCCCTAAAAGGAGAAGCCCAGTGGCCATTATGTCTGTAGCACTGGCCTCTAGAGAGGCCTGGGTACGCTTGCCTCTAGGCCTGAGCTCAAGACCACCATGGCAGCATGTCCCATCAGAACCCGATGACATCCTGCTGCCTCTTACTCCATCCTGAGGTGGCTTCCCCAGAGCCATGTCCATCAGGGGTCACCCACAGGGCTGAGGCCTGGAGTAAACACATCCCAGGTTTTCTGGGTGTGTACCTCATCTGAGCTTGGGTGGTGGGCATCGACCCAGACCAGGGCCAACTCCACATGACAGCAAATCTGCCAAGGGAGGGCCGCTGGGACCTCCGGGAGCTGGTTTCGGTACCTCACAGGTCCTGGAGCAGGTCAGGGCTCCCAGGCCCGAGGTATGTGACTAGCCCCACAGCCCCTCCTCACCCTGCTGACTCCTGAACTGTTCCTCAAGGAGCGATGTTGGTACCCAGTGTGCTCTGGGACTTCTGGGAAAATTTCAAGAGTTTCTTAGTTGGGGCTTGGTGCCTTCCAAGGGTCACAGCGTGTGCTTGAAGCTCAGAGAGGCTCTGAGATGAGTTTCCAGAGGCGGAAGTTTTATCATCTTCATCCTTAGACTGTAGGAGGGCATGTTGCTTAGACGTTCTATGCCTCAGTTTCCTCATCTGTAAAATGGGAACGACAACAGACCTACTTCATAAGGTTATTATAAGCATTGAATGAAATAAAGGAGGCAGAGTGCCCAGAAAGCATTTAGCTGGTACTTGATGACTATTTTTCAAATAAATGAGAATAGGTGCATGTCTCAGAAACTTGGTACATTTCTGAACAAAAGAAAGTGATTGTTAATATATTTTTTTAAGGCAGCAAGAGAAAATAACCTAGAGCTTTCTCCCTTTATCCCTTCAGAAGGAGGGGTGGCATATAGAGAGAGAAACTGAAGGACAAAGAGGCTACGGCTTGGAGGCCAGGCCCCATCTATATGTAGGTGCCGGAGCAGTCCTGGTCCGTCCTTGAGTGGTCTCGCTAGGATCCTGCCTTCCAGCCACTCATGTTCCTAGAAAGCTCTCAAGTCTGTTTGTGTGGAGACGCTATAAACAAGGACGGGATGAGTGGGTTGAAATGAGCAGGACTTTATTAGGGCAGAATCTCCCAATCAGGCCGAGCCCCTGCCTCAGGGAAGGATCCCAACCTCACAGGGCCCTAAAGGACCCAGGAGGACCCCGGTCCCCACCCTGCTCCAGGCCCTGCTCTTTCCCTGAGCAGACATCACTTCTGCGCAGGAAGGGGACAAAGGCCTCCTCTGCGGTGAGGGAGGCGGGCTGCAGCAAGAACCAGGACTTGGGCGTGGACAGGGCACATGACCTTGGGCAAATCCCCTCCCTTCTCCGACCTCAGCTTCTTTGCCTGTAGAGTGGGGACATGAATCCCCTTCACGGAGCTGATAGAGGAGGACCAGATGGGGTTGGACCAGCAGCCGGCAGACTGGGGAGTGCAGCTGGGCCAGGCTCCACCCAGGTGCCTAGCAGCCCTGTGGGCGGGGCGACTATCTCTTTGGGCACCTGATTCTGAAGTTGACAGCTGTTGACAGTGGTTATCTCTGGGGGGTAGACTAAGGTAGGTAGGCGGGAGGTAATTCTTTCTGTTTTCAGTTTAAAAATGTTTTTCAACAGTCAGCATTTATTCCTCCTATAATAATTATATGTGTGTGTGTATATATATATATATATATATATTTTTTAAAGGCAGTTCCTTGTTTAATTCTGGTGACTTGTCTCTGGCCAAGCCCTTTCTTCAGATCGTCAGTAGGGTCAGACCTAGTCTGGCAGAGCCTTCCAGGGGTGGCTTGGGAAAACTTGGACACAGAGATATGCTCACTGTCACCTCCAGCCAGTCACACACCCCGATGTACCAGAGGTCTCCTCCATATCGCTGCCATTTTGTCATCCCAACTCTCAGTCTCCCCTTGTCACCGGTATCATGCACCTAGGACCCTCAGGCCCAGTATGAGGAGCGAGGGGCCAAATACAGCCCACTTGCCTCCCTGATCTTTGCTGCCAGGCACACAGCCTTCTGCCCCACAGTCCCCACTCCTGACCCAGGCCAAGCACACGGACCTCTGGCCAGGAGCCTGGTCCCAATTACATCCCCTGCATGGCCCCTATGTGGGGGCAGTACCTCACCCTCAACAGTGGAGTTCTGTGGGCACTAACCAGACTTCAGTATCATTTCTGTTCACCCCTGAGGAGGGCACTGCCCTCCCAATTTCGCAGAGGAGAAAGCACAGCTCGCACCCACTCCCCCTGCAAAGCCCGTTCTTGACTGACCACACACCTCACTGAGTGACCTGAAAGGACAGCGCAGCCCTGGCTGAACGCCTGGGCCCCAACGGTCTGTGCGGGACCTCATTTCTCTCATCCATCAAGCAGAGGTAACCATCCTTAGCCCATTGCTAAGGATGTGAGGATTCAATAAGATCATTCTTCTAGGCTCCCAGGAACATGTGGCGTTTTTAATGACAAGACACCTTCCGGAAAAATTTTGCAAGATCAGTACAAAGAACTTTTTGTCCTGAACCGTTTGAGAGTAATTGCTGACCGGAAGCCCAGGCTCCCTGCATCCTTTAGTGTATATTTCCTGCAAATGGGGACCCTCTCCTCCATCACCACAAGGCAGCCATTAGCATCAGGAACCGCACCGTGAGCCACCACTGTGAGTAATCCTCAGACCCTTTCATGTTCCGCCAATTGTCCCAATCTCGAACAGCTCCTCAATTTCCCCTGGACTTTCAGGACCTTGACATTTCTTTAAGATTACAGGGCAATGACTTTGTAGGATTTCTCTCAATTATCGTTAGTCTAATGTTTCCTTGTGATAGATTCGGGTTACGTGTTTTGGGAGGAATGTCATAGGAAGGGGCTGTGTGCCTTTCCTTGCACACAGTTTCCATTTGTCCCATTACTGAAGATGGGAACTTTATTCCCTTGATTAAGAGGGTACTTGCCAAGCTTCTCCACTGGAAGCTGACTACTTTTCCTTTTGAGATTAATATGTATAATATTTTGTGGGGAGGCACTTTAAGGCTATGTAACTGT